AAATGAACCCTAGAGGAATTATAAATGTTTCTTGATTGGCAGCGTGTCCGAGTGGTTAACGCGTCTGACTAGATATGTAAGGATTGATGACCGCGTGGGTTCAAATCTCGTCAGGTGCAAGCCGTTGTTTGCTTAGTACTGGTTGGTTCAAAGAACATTTTTGAGAGTGTTAAATAAGCTTATGGCTTACATAACATTCGAACTAAATTAAATTAGTATAAACTGAATGCCTCTCTAGAAAAATGACTGTCATTCGAGAAGAGAATAATATTTTTTTTCTCGATAAACATGAATACACACGTCAATAATTATGGTCCTTAGAGATAAATGAGTGCTTTTGAGAATTTTATGAAAGCCCTTCAAAAATTATGAATGCGCCTTGAGAATAATAATGCCTCCCGAGAATTATAAATGCCCCTCGAGAATTATAAATGCCTCCCGAGAATTGTAAATGCCCCTCGAGAATTATAAATGCCCCTTGATAATTATAAATGCCCCTCGATAATTATAAATGCCCCTCGAAAATTATAAATGCCCCTTGATAATTATAAATGCCCCTCGAGAATTATAAATGCCCCTCGAGAATTATAAATGCCCCTCGATAATTATAAATGCCCCTCGATAATTATAAATGCCCCTCGAGAATTATAAATGCACCTTGATAATTATAAATGCCCCTCGAGAATTATAAATGCCCCTCGAGAATTATAAATGCCCCTCGAGAATGATAAATGCCCCTCGAGAATTATAAATGCCCCTCGAGAATTATCCTCGAGAATTATAAATGCCCCTCGATAATTATAAATGCCTCTCGAGAATTATAAATGCCCCTCTAGAATTATAAATGCCACTCGAAAATTATGAATGCCCCTCGATACTTATAATGCTCCTCGAGAATTATGGATGTCTCTCGAGAATCAAATGCCACTCGAGAATTATGATGCCCCTTGAGAATTATGAATGCTCACTCGATAATAATGAATGGTGCCCAAGAAAAAAGATAGGATTCCCTTAAGAACAAAAGATATTCTTAAAGGTAAATTGTGCACCCTGTTGTAAAAGATTTTTTATAATCTAAAGTAAATGCTGTTGTGATTATCTTTCGTCTTGGTTGCCGTCTTATAACTGGATCAAAGATACTCACACATGTCTCACCTCTGCACAATGTTCTGCATCCATATGTTGTTCAGGTACAATAGGTTTAAAGTAAAATAAATTGCAATACATTGCATTATTTTGATGTTTTATGTTTTGTACATCAACTGTATAACGTTATGTATTGATTAAAGCAACAGAGTGTAAATACTTATGCAATGTATTTTTTCCACTGTGATTTTAAAATATTAAGGCTTTTGATATTTGGCATTTTTTTTGATAGTACAATGTATACTTAACAAATAAGTTGTTAGTTTAAGACTGGTTTATAAGAGATAAAAAAAATGACAAGTTATAAAAATATACGCTACAATAAGAAAAATGTGATAAATGAAAATATTAGTACATGTATTCGTAACTTCTTTTCGTAATATCATTAATTTGAAGTATGCAAGAAAAAGCCGGCTGCGCCATCAACAGTCACCCTTGAGCAAGATATTCCGGTCTGAACCGGCGTTTGTGTGTATTTGCGTTTATTTATACTCGCCACCGGTTGCCCATATGGGCGAGTCCTCAAGAAAAGTATTAGTAATTGTAGATTTTGGAGGATAGTACAATTACAGAAACAGAAAGATGCCCCAATTCCAGAAGCTTCTTCTGGTTCTTTAGCGTGCCAAGTGTTTAAGCACTCATACACGGGACCTCGATTTAAAGTCTCATCCGAAAGACTGATTAGTAATTTTAATTGACCAGCCCGGGAATCGAACCCACGATGTCAAGATTACAAGTCTTGGCGCTCTAACCAATTGAGCTATGCGGGCTGGCTTAACTCTCTGAACCGGCAGTCGGTGGAAGATCCTTAATTACATTCTAATACCGATATAAAACAGTAGATAAATTCCTGTCTGATGAGCAATAAAAAAAAGTAAATGTATCCCGCTCAAAATAAGATCTTATTCATTTGAGGCTTTTGATGTGTGAGGTTTTGTCCGGCATTTATTATGATAACACAGAGTACCCTAAACATGTAGCCCTGCTCCACAAAAGGGACGCAACAAGATCTTATTAATAAAAATTTGCATTGCACAGTTACTTTTCCTTTACGTTAATTAAGTTAATTAAAGTCAAATGTGATGCCACATGGCATTATTTTGATCTTTCATCCTGGAAATGAATACCACCCGGCCAATATGTTTTGCGACATTCCCTAGGGGCGAGTAATCTTTATAGTCTTAAGAAAAACGTAATGTTCTAGTTTCTCCCTTGCATTAAGTGGCCGCCTCTAGTTTTATATATAGACTCCTTCAAAATCTTTTTTTAAAAGATTTAATCTATTCATCATAAGCCTTAGAGGTATTCAATGGTTTTTCTGTTGGTTTTTAATTACTATAAACCAATACCGCATTTAAATTAAAGCTTTTTCATGGTCGAACATTTGCTTAGGTTTGGACTTTGTGCCTTATATTGATTGTTGTTAAAGAAGTCTCTCCAAAACAATAATAGGAGAAAAACGAGTCAGCAACGGAGTCTGACAAATGGAGTTTTGACGGTTTTCTCTAGAAAGTTGTGTTTTTTACGAAAATTCTTACACTTTGTTTACTTGACGAACAAATTGCTTGTCCAAAAGCGACAATATCAAGCGGATTTTTTGGACATTCTGTTTGGGTTAGAGATTTGAGCCTAATATTGCTTTAAAGAAGACCCTCCAAATTATTACCATCTACAAGATCATAACTTCAGTAGCACTCATCCAACCATTTTTTACTGTTTGACATCAATTCCAGTGCAGAACGTGCTCTTAAAAACTTTTTTGAAACTGACAACTTAATTAATCTTTATCACGTTTTCAAAAAGTTGTATGACCACTGTTTCGTAATAATTCGAAATAATATGGTCCTCCGTTTCAGAAGGGTTTTGTCTCTATGACGTTGTTTGTGAAGTTTTCTGACGATATATGGCTATACCGAAGAAAGTAAATCAAGCATTTATTCAAAAGCCGATAAACACGGCTTAAACGTAAGAGGGCTGTTAGAAAGAAATTGCTTATTGCGCTGTTGCTCGATATTCACGAAGAAGATACGAAAATTCTCGATAAAACTGGATAGCTCTATCAAATACCTTTACAATCATATAATTTAGTAACATTTCTCAATGTGTAACGAATTTGTCATTTGAATATACATGGTCAATGACAACTGTATATGAAAATGGTAGGGGAAATCGTAGACAACAAAGAAGAAATACGGGCTGATATAAAAAAACTCGCGCATTACTTTGATTTCGTTGAAAGATATTTTCAACGAAATTAAAGTTGTTTATTAAAATACTTCGCTGTCTTATGACACTGTTCGTAGGTTAAAAAAGAAATATAACTCCGGCTTACATTCTGTTGAAAATGCGTCAAAATTCATGAAGACTTAAGCGTGGGACCACATAAGAAAACATCGCAAAGTAAACGAAATCATTAAGAAAGATGCTACCTATACGGTGTGTGATATAGCACAAATGGTAAGTATAGCACTATCAAGTGTACAAATTATTCTGAAGAACGCTGGATGTTTGAACGATTAGTGCTTGGTTGATCACCTTATTTGTTAACAGACGATCAAATGAAGCAACGGGTTAAAATTGCAAAAAAACAAACAAACAAAAAACAGTTCTCTAAATGTTTCCAGACTACGACCAATCCAACTGTATTAACTGGTGATGAAACCTGGATTCACTATTTTGAGCCCGTACGAAAACAAAAAATAAGAATTAATAAAGTCAACTAGAATCTGCAAAAGACCTGTTATTGCAAATCACAATTTTCTTTTTAAATAAAATGCATTGCAATCCAATTCCCAGTCAAAGGGGGGGGGGGTGGGTAAAAGCATGACAGGGAAGTGATACAGAGACGTCGTGCTGAAAAAAAAAACTGAAAAAGAACCACCAAAAATGACGTCCTGTATTCGAAAGTTTTCCTTAGCCATTAATTATATGTAAAATGTGAAAGGGTCTTAACATTAGGCTCAAGCAAACGTTCATTTGAATGTTTTAAGGTAGAAGGCCTATAATTGGATTTTTTAGTATTTTTTATTACAATGGTAATGCAGAAAACCTAAAACTCGTACAGAGAATATTCTCAAACTTTAAATGATTAAAGAGAATCATGACTGAAGCAAAGAGTGATGAAAAATAGGGGGTTAAAACTTCCTACTTTCAAGTTATCTGCCTTTGAAAGTGAGTTCTTTTTCTTATGGATCACTTCTCAAGATCAAGCATATCGATTATCTGTTTCATTTTAAATGATTTTAATGTTCTTCCTTTGTAGTCATTATGTAAAGTTTAAAACAATTCTGTCAGACATGTGTTTTGCCTCGCTTCAGTACTTTCAGATACTGTTTGTTTCTTTTTAATCTTTCTAATAGGGGAAATTCGAAAACAAATATATTATTTCAGATTTATTAGCAGCCATAGTATTAAATCTGTCGGAATGACTTGTGCCAAATGTTTACCGTGACAGGAAGAAAAATAACAAACAAAAATTTAAAATCATATGAGGTGTAATTTTAAAAAGGCCTTTACAATCAAATATCAAATATAGGAATGAATTGAGAAACATGAAAAACATGAAAAACAAAAAGATTATGCGTATAATGTACGTAACTTAAATGAAATTTTCAATCAGTAGAACGCAAACGAAAGAGAAAAAGAAAAAAGTAACATAACACTTTGCGTGCACTGGCAGGTTTCCCCTGCCATTATCAAATTGTACATTAGCGCGTTTGTTTATTATAATAGGTAGCTCAAGTGTCACAAATAAAATTGCTTTTTTTTATAAAAATAAGACTAAAAATTCCTTTACTTCTTGCAAAGATGATTTGTCAACATCTATATTGAACTCAATGAATAAAAAAGTAATATAGCATTATAGTTCTTTTACTGAAAAATAATATAAAATACAATATTTTTTTATGTTATTCAAGTGTAATATACATACTTTAAGGCATTTGAATAAACACGGGTTTTAACATATTTGTGATATTCAGGTCTTAACAAATGCTGAATGTTGATAAAATACAGATACATTTTATTTCTTAAAATGAGTATAAACAATCAAATGTTTGCAAATCAGTGATACTATAATTATTATCACAATCTATATAAATTTGATTATTGGTGTACATACTGTCAGTCTAATACTTTTTTAGTCAATAATTACATAAGAATACATCTTTGATGTTCTGTCTTTGAATTAACTATTGACGGTTTTGTCTTGATTACTTTTGGCTCATCATTTTCATCAAGAGACACCATGAACATATGTTTACCATGACCAGCTTTTATGCTATATATTTCAAAGTTGTAATCATAAATTCTTATTTCAGCATTTTTCCATGTATCCGGATGTTCCTTTTCTATATGCGATATAACGGCTTGCAGGAGTCTTCTGAGATATCGTGTATTTCTGTCGTTCTCCGTCCCTTCGTGTCCGCAATATTTTATTATTGCCTTACCAATTGACCTCCCATTGATTTCTTCGCACTCAATTTTATGATCCTGTAAAAAACATCAATGTTCAAAATGATGTTATGATCAATTATATTGTGTTTAGATAACTATTTATAGCTTTTGGAAAACATTTAATATATATGATATGATAATTGTATGATTAAATTACAGCTAAAAAAACGCTATCAGGTCACAAAATCATTTTATCTACCATGGATAAGTAGCATTCAGTTAAGATATTTTTCTATTATTTGTTTTGATGATTCCATTGTCCATTGTGAATTGGAAAATCTAAATCAAATGCAAAGGAAATGATTCGTCTTATTTAAGACGTCAATGGCATTTTAAATAAGGCCTAATATTTTTCTGTACTTCTGATTTTTGTAAAGAAAATAACGATATAATACTTTTAAAACCATGCAACTAAAATACTTAAAAAAATAAGCGCCGGGGAAAGGTAGACAACTTGTCATACAAACGTACAGTGTCTTAATGACTTTGAGTTCACTAAAATTTCAATAGTAACTTACCTGAAATTTACTTCCGTCGTCTACGTTGTGATTCTCACGAGTTTCCTTGTCTGCTTTATCATTTTCACGAGTTTCCGAAGTCTTACTCTTTAGATTTGTATCCGTCATATTTAACTGCTGAGTCTTACAAATTATATCAGTCTACATTTTATTCGTTTCTGATGTTTTTCTTTTAAGTAATGCCTAATTCATGAACTTAAATTTCAGTTTAAATTCATTCAATGGCTACTCTTAAATTATGTGGGAGTGGCATTCGCAACAAGCTTTTGTTTAAATTTATGTCGCATGAATATTGATTTTAGATTGACAGATATTTTTTCTTTAAGTTATGGTGTCTAGTAAGTGACACTCGGTTCTGTTATGAAAACTGAATAATGAACCTCTAAAAACCCCAAGAAGCTCTGAGTATTTTTACCAAATCACAAACTGCTCAATTAGAAAAAAGAAAGTAATTCTGAAAATAAATTCAGTAAACCTTAGTAACTTTGACAAGTACATGTACATATCCTTCTTTATATTTCGTTGATGTTCAAAGGGGCAAAGGGCGATATTATTGAGTTAATTTTGATGATAAAGTCATTGACAAAAAAAGAGTGCTGGATTTGTATAGAACTATATCACATTGAAGAGTGAAGCTTTTACTAAAAATAGTTTTGGACGTATAATCATTTCAAAAACCACACATTCATGCTGTTCTCATACTCTTATTGAAAAAGTTCAAAAATATCATTTCGTCTAAAATATCGGAAATTTGTAAACATACAAACATCATTTTGTCACAATTAAGGTATTTCAAAATGATTTTAAATTTTTACAAAATAATGTAGTAAAAAACACTTAATGCATTGCCAAATATGAAACCGACTATGTTCTTTACATGCGCGTTTATCCACTAAACATACATAATGTCATTACTATAAACGTAAATTGTTAGTTTATAATGTACTGTAAAGTGAACCATACTTTTTTCTTTAGGTAGCGATAGCTACATTATTAGTTAATTTGTTTGTTTTAGTTCTTTGTAAATGGGAGTGGTTATTTCTATGTTTAAATGGTTAAACATTCTTATTACAAAATGTATATTCCTACATTAGCAAATATTGGTCATTTGTTATCATAACTTGAAATTAAAGGAAAGGTTTGTTTTACTATTTTTATTAATGTTAAATAACAAACTTAATATAGCAGATTTTATTTAAAATTAATACAGTTTGACAGTCATTCATTTGGGGACATTTATTAAACATATTATTTATAAGTGACGTTTATAAATACCTTTATTTTTATATTTTCTATTTATTTTTAGCAGATTTTATCAACGGTGCATTTAAAGCTACCAAAAAAATGGGCGGTGGACCATCTCATAATGTATGTGTTATTTATTTCTCTATTATATGAATTTGAACGTTATAACATTTCAAATTAAACTTAACAAATCATATGCACTAATTAATGTGTGTACTCTTTCCTCAAGTTTGTCAGCATATGTTAATAACATATTGCAACATAAGCGCTTAGTAGGAAGCTCGAGAGCAACAGAAAAATATTATTTCTCTCCAAAGTTTGCTATTCAAAGTTAAGTCACAATTAAAAAAGTGCATACATATGAATTGAGCTATGCACGATTAGGTGACACAAAACAACACCTAAATACAAATTCAATTTCGATCTTTTTTATACAAAATTCTGTTTTGGCATTTGCAATCAGAAATCATATTTTTTTCTCTTTTATTTTATAATCATAATATATACAAACATTTAAATAATAGTAATTGAAGACATAATTTAAGAGTATAATTTCAAATCAATATATTCAATCTTTATTTTAGTCTCATCAATGTACATACATACAACAATATACATAGAACACATATAACATGATTTTAAAAGTACATTGCCACTCATATATTGAGTTATAAGAGACTTTAGTAACAATTCAACGAATAAAAAGACTTACGTAATTACTGCTATATATACTATATGCATGCTTATATCGTTAAAGCTAAGAAGCAGACGCTAATCGTTAAATAAAAAAATCATTAAAATACACGACGATAAAAAACTGAATGTGGAAAAAGGCACTATTGCGCAGTTCAAAAAAATGTGTTAAAGAATCAGGTATCCCCCCGATCAGATCGTGGATGAACAGATTAGCATCTACTTCCTAGGGGAAGTTAAAAGATATAGATATCACATAAAAAGAAATTACATTATTTACACAGATAAAATTGTCTCCTATTTAAAATATCATTATAGGTTTTGGCACAAATTCTAATAAGTGAATGATTTGAAAATACAAGTTTCAGCTTATCAATATCCTGCATATCGTAGAAGTTTGGTTCTATTGACAAAATTGTATTTAGCAAAGAAATTCTAAGGTCATTGTACAAAGGGCAATCGAAAATAACATGACTTTCAGTTTCAATTGCTTGACAAAACGGACATGTTCTATTTTCTATATTTAAATTTTCGAATCTCCCAGTTTCAATCCGAATAGGCGCTACCCACAACGAAATTTACAGTATGCTGAGCGATGCTGGGAGGCATAATCATATTACAATAGTGCTCTGTGGTAAATTCTGACTTATATGTACAATAATTTCTAAGCTTGTTACCACCTCTACCAGTAACACTCGTGGTCCTATTGATAGTTTCAAGCCATTCAGCAATAAACTTGTTTGTCATATATGATTGTATACCTTCAACAATGTAGGCTTTAGAAACATTTACATTTACATCAGAACAGTTGACTAAATTACAATCATTTATTTGCTTCTTCACAGAAAAGACCCAGTTTTTTACATGATGTACCAGCTTTAACACTTGCCCAAACTGCAATTCGCTTATTAATACGAGTAGAACGGGTGTTACAAATACAGGCCCAATAAGAAGCTATAGTTTTCCATTGGCGAACAACGGGGGGCTGCCAAGCCATTTCCCCTGCTAAAGCCGCATTAGGTGTATATTTGCCGACGCCTAGGAAATACCTCATTGCTCTATTCTGAACAGCATTTATACAGGAGAAAGATCGACAGCCCCACACTGCTGCACCGTAACTTATTACAGGCCAAACTAAGGAGTCGTATAACTTAGTAAATACATTAAAAGGTACTCCACCTATTAATTTACATTTGGCAATTACCAAACCCAATGCACGGCTTGCACTTTGAGCAATTGTCCTGGCTGTTACATTAAAATCGAGGTGTTCGGTCAAAACTATACCCAAGTATGTATATCTTTCAACAATATCAAGAGTTTCATTACCACATTTGAAAACAAAATCAACCTTTTGTACAGAGGGTGGTCTAAAGTGAACAATATTACTTTTTGTACAATTAATTTGCATATCGTTAACATTGCACCATTCACTCAAAGCATTTAGCAAAACTTGCAAATCATCTTTATTTTCAGCTAACAGAACAATATCATCTGCATATAACAAAATGCTTATAATTTCACTTTCTATAGACACACCAATATTCAAAGACTTAAGATACACAGCAAGGTCATTAATGTACAGATTGAACAGCAGAGGGGAGAGGGTGCAGCCTTGTCTTAAGCCAGAATGTACACTGAACCAGTCAGTATTATAAGAATTTACACGAACACATGACGAGACATTAGAATATAGTGATCTTACGGCTGTTAACATTTTCCCTGATATACCACTATCATGAAGTTTTTTCCATAACTTATTTCTATTAATATTGTCATAAGCTTTTCTAAAGTCGATAAATGCACAAAATGTTGATTGCTTTAGCTTTTTCCTAGTATCTATTAGATTACTCAATGAAGAAATTTGATCAATAGTTGTGCGTTTCTTTCTAAACCCATTTTGCTCGTCTACCATTTTTTTCATTTTCTTCAGCCCAGGTACTAAGACGATCATTAAGAACCGAACAATATAATTTGTATACTGCAGGAGCTAAAGATATACCTCTATATGAAAGAGGATCTCTAGGGTCCGCAGAAGAAGACTTGGGAATTGGGTTAATAATACACTTTCCCCATATACCAGGAACAACTCCGCTGTCAAAAATAACATTAAATAATACATTGAAGAAAATACACTGTCGTATCATTTTTCAAAACCTCGGTCGGGATATTATCAGCCCCACAAGCTTTTCCTATTTTCGCACTAGAAATGGCCTTTTTAACCTCAAAAATTGATATTCGTTCATTAAAAGAAACATTATCAGAAGAATCAGGGTCTTGCAAAAAATCTAAAAGAGGAGGTGCATCATACTCTTTAAAGAGAGAACTATAATCCGTTTTCCATTTATGGAGTACATCTGTGACAGTAGACGATATATCACCGTTATCCAAACGTACTTCCATTGGTATTTGTTTATTTTTCGAATAGCCTATCCCAATTTTGCCTATTATGCTATAGATTTCCAAAACTGATTACTGTCAACTTTACAATCGTTTAACAAGTCATTCTGCATAGAATACCTATAAATACGTTTGCAACGCTGAACCTCATGATCAAAAATGTTTCTACAAGAAATATACACAGATTTAAGATGTAGCTTATCACTTCTATTCTTACAATCAAGCCATTTGCGTTCATTATGACACATAATATTCCAAAGATCTGATAACTTATCAGACCACCATGGCTTACCAGCTCTTCGCTTTCTATGAGAGCTACTAATATTTACCGTTTTATATGATAATTTACTATACATGTTATCTTTAACAATATTACACCAATCCAAATATATATTATCAATATCAGTCTGGGTGTTAATACCTGATTCTAACTTTTCTATAACAGTGTTTATTTGTGCTGTAGTATCATGACTATTTAAAAAATCATTAGGTATATTACTTTATTCAAACTTATCAAAAGAACTACTGGCATCTATCGAAATAGTATTACTTTTACTTATATTGACATTTGTCTCGTAGTTAATATTCCACATAAGTAACGAATGGTCTGGGATACTAGCTGGCATTGTAGTGTTCACATAATCAATACTATTTATCAAATCTGTAACACGTACAATACAAAAATCTTTAAACAATTTTAAATTTTCGTGAGACGTGACACAATAATCGACTACAGCTGTACCTTTAACAGAAATAGACGTAAAATCATTTTTAATACAGTTCCTTCCATTAAGCATACACATATTTGTATTAATCAGAAAATCAATAAAAAGTTCCCCATAAGAATTTTTTACAAAATCTATGATATCACGGGGCGGTAAACTATCAACTCCACAA